GCCCCTCCCCCCCTGCCACAAACTTGTTCCCATCCTCATCCTTGAAGTCAAGCAGGGCCCGCAGGCGCAGGGCAGTGTCAGCCAGCACCACCTGCAGTGGGGTGACGCCCTGGGGACACATGGACACAGGGCTGAGGGAGAATCCCCTGGGGACACAGGTGTCACAGCAGAGGTGTGGAGGACATGGGGACAAGGGGCACAGTGTGGGACTTCAGGTGATGCCCTGGGGACACTCTGGGCCTTGAAGTCAAGCAGGGCCCGCAGGCGCAGGGCAGTGTCAGCCAGCACCACCTGCAGTGGGGTGACGCCCTGGGGACACATGGACACAGGGCTGAGGGAGAATCCCCTGGGGACACAGGTGTCACAGCAGAGGTGTGGAGGACATGGGGACAAGGGGCACAGTGTGGGACTTCAGGTGATGCCCTGGGGACACTCTGGGGACACAGGTGGCATGGCAGGAGACACGGGGGCCATCGGAGGTGATGGCAGGGGGCATGGGGGGTGAAACCAGGGGGACTGGGTCACAGGTTTTCACTGTGGGGGATATGGGGAACAGGCTGGGGATGGGAGGACGCTATGGGGGAGCAGAGGACACTGCAGGGGCACACTGGGGACAGGTACACAGGTTCAGAGCAGGGACAGGGATGACATGCCAGGGGCTATAGGAGCAATGGGGGGGCATAGGGAACTATACAGCCTATAGGAACTGTGAGAGACGACAGAGGGATTAGAGAAGGTATAGGGGCTATGGGTGGCCATGGAAGGCTACTGTGGTGAGTTACAGAGAGGGGTTATGGAGCCTATAGGGGACCATGGTGGGGCTAGAGGAGCTATAGGAAGCCCTGGGGCTGCTATAGGGGGCTACAAGTACCTGCTGGATCTCCTCGCCAGGATATAGGGGGAAGGGCTCCTGGGCCAGGCGGATATCGAGGTCAGCATGCCGCAGTCGGGCCTGCCCCACTCCATCGACCAGCACGGCCCCCGTAGGGCCCCGGGCCACAGGGTTGAGCACCACGCAGTAGTGCCGGGGGGGCACCATCACCATGCGCCTGGGGGTGAACACCACCCTGCGGGCGGCCCCACATTGCTCCCCTCAGCCCTATAGAACACCCAGGGCCCTATAGAGCCCATCAAGTCCCCCAGTCCTATAGAGCCCCACAGCCTCCCACAGCCCTCCTATGGCCCTCTACAGCCTTATGGAATCCCCATGACCCTACAGAGCTCCCAAACACCCCCATGGCACTACACAACCCCAATGCTCCCCAGGGCCCAGAGTCCCCACAGACCTAAAAAGCCCCCAGCATCCCCCACAGTCCTAAAGAGCACCAACAGTCCTACAGATCCTCTCAAGCCCCTTATGGCCCTACAGAGTCCCTCAAACAGCCCACACAGCCCTAGAGAGACCCTACACACCTGTAAATCTAGATGACCCTACAGCCCTGCCCCATAGCACCCACATTTTATAGTCCTGCCAGACATAGGGGTGAGACCCATCATCCTATAGATCTCCTCCTGTCCCATAGCACCCACCTTTTTTGGTCCTGGCGGATGTAGGAACATGACCCCCTCAACCCATCGGTGCCCCCCTGCCCCATAGCACCCACCTCTCGTGATCCTGCCGGATGTAGGTGTGGGGCCCAACCTCCACACGGGTGACGTTGCTGTTGAGGTCCAACACATGGACATAGTGGTAGGGGGGTATGCGGATCACAGGGTCCTCCATGGAGCAGCAGACCTTCCCGGGGTGTAGGTGAGCTTGCTGTGGGACAGAACAGCTTGTTGTGGCTCACTGCGGGGTGGGAGACCTGGCCACAGGGTGGAAAAGCTTGCTGTGGGGCTGACAAGGTTGCTGTGGGGCAGAAGAAACTGCTGTAAGGTGGATGACCTCATTGCGGGGCGGGGGGGGCGGGCAGCAGGCAGAAGACATTGCCATGGGGCTCATAATGGGGTGGGAAACCTTGCCATAGGGTGGAAAAACTTGCCGTGGGGCAGTGGAATTCACTGTAGCGCAGAAGAGATTGCTGAGAACGTCATCGCAGGGGCAGGGGACAGGCAGAAAACTTCACCACGGGGCTCATGATGGGGTGGGAGACTTTACCACAAGGTGGAAAAGCTGCAGATTTGGTCACTGTGGGGCAGATGAAGCTGCTGGAGTGGGGCAGAAGACCTCACCATAGGGCTTATGGTGGGGTAGGAGGCTTTGGAGTGGGGTGGGAAAAGCTTGCTGTGGGGCAGATGGGATCACTGGAGGGGCAGAAGAGCTCACCGCAAACTGGGGGAGGAAAGTTCGCTGTGGGGCAGGCAAGCTTGCCGTGAGGCTGGGGGGAGATCTCACCGTGGGGCAGTCCACCTTGCCGCCGGGCAGGAATCCTCGCTGTGGGGCAGGAGAGCCCGGAAAGGCCTTTGCCCAGGCCCAGCGCCGCGGGCAGGCAGGGCCCCGCCCATCGGGGGCCGCCCCACGGACCTGGATTCACACCC